TGATTGCAGCCACATCGTTTCTAATGGGGGACAAGGCACATATACAGTGATCAGCAAATCAATGTTAATCATAGTGGAAATGATCCCCTAGAATCCTTTGGCCAGTGGCTAGGCTTACTGTGGGATTCTGGGAATTATAGACCAAAATGTAACATTTCCAAGCTTTGGTATGATTTTGATTGATAATTGTCATTTTCCAGCTATTTTTCTCATTAAAGAACTCCTCAGAGGTTTTCAAAGAACAGTTCCCTGAAGAATTATTTTACCAAAAAGCTTATATAAAGCTGTTTACAGCCTTTGATTTAGAAAGCAATAGAATTTAATGTAGACAGTATTAGTATCTGAGAATAAACATGCAGTGATTTTTTAAAACCTTGTAGCATTTGAGAAAGTGCAACAATATTTTTAAACATAGGCATTATGCCAATTGATTGTCTCTACTATCTGTGTGCTGCTCAGTGTGTGCATATGTGTGCATATGTAGTTTTACAATATAGAAACATACTTTGCTTTGGTTTTGCTTTTAACTTTTTATATTTTAATTTTCTTTACTATGCTTTGAATGTGTTTAACTGTTTTAAGTTAATATTTTAATTGGAATGTTAAAAATGTTTTATTGCATTATTTTAGTGATGTTTTGTTCTCACTCATAGCATATACTGCTTTGGATGTTTGGAGGAAGGCAATTAAATATAAATGAAAGAAAGAAAAGAAAGGAAGAAAGATGTCTTGGATCTGTTAAAGAAAAAAACACACCAAAAAACCCACCGTTAAGTTTTTTAAAAGTATGCACCTCATCAACCAGAGCTGATGATCCAAAGTGGTAGTTTTTCCAATTCCCATCCCATGCATCTATGTTAATTTTTTTTTTAAAGCAAGGAACTTTTGTGCCTCTCACATAATATGTGTAGTCTGGTAGTGAGAAAATCAAGCCAAATTAAGAACTTTAGAGCTGTTCTGTTTTCATGGAACTGATAACATAACTTTCCTTCCTGGATCAATTGTCCCTAATTTTGAACTGAATCCCACATGGACTTTTTATCAAGAAAAACTTCTTCTTTCATTAGCTATTCCCTCCTTTACTGCTGCATTTCTAGAACCAGCCCCATCATTAATTCGGCAGAGTGAGGTGCTTGTCTCAGGCAGGAAATGTTTAGTCTTATGAAAGGACAGCAAGTTGTTAGTTATTTAATTTGCCATTGTTTGATTTTAATTTCTAGAGGTGCTTGCCAAATTTTCTACCTTATATGTCTTTAAAAACTTAACTGTATTTGGAACATATACACCTTGATTAAGGTGACCTTTGCTGCTCCGTTGCAGTTAGCAAAAGATCATGGGTCACCTTATGGAGTTTCATTTAAGGGAGCTGGTACTGTGTGAGGTGAGGGAGACACAGACTTGTATATGTAGGATGGATATGTAGGATATGAATTTCATTGCTGCAGTCTGAATTTCATGATATTTGAGGTATGTTCAAATGAATTGGAAGATCTAAATATTATTTTTAGTCCCTTTCAGCTCTTACAGATAGACAGATAGACATAAATCTTCTTTTCCAAAAGCTCACAGGTTCTATGAAAAGCAGTGAACAGAAAAATTATAAGTGAGCAAATACCATGAGCAAGGAGGTACAATATAATAACAAGTCTTGTGATTTCTTTTTAAGACTCACAGGAGTATTTTAGCATGAGATTCTGTGGATTACAGTCCAGATGCATGGATCTTCTTCCATGCTTTGTTCGTTTGCTGGGAGAGACTAATATAGCTACAGCAGGACTGTGAAACAAAAGAAGACAAAGATATTCTCTGCTGTACAAAGGGTGCAACTAGATCTCAAGTCCAATGTATTTAAATAACAGGAGTTCAGATTTTTCCTTGATTAGGAGAAACATTTTAAAAGTAAGAGCAGTCTGACCCAGATTCCCACTGGCAATCTTGGAGGTGGGGATTGTTATTGTTGAGTACCTTCAAGATGTTTCTGACTTATGGTGACCCTACGATGAACCTATCATGGGATTTTCTTGGCAAGATTTCTGTAGGGGAGGTTTGCCATTATCCTCCTCTGAGAGAGTGTGATTTGCCCAAGATCACCTAGTGGGTTTGATGGCTGAGCGGGGATTTAAACCCTGGTATCCAGAATCATAGTGCAACACCACTAAGCCACACTGGTTCTCATTGGGAATAGTACAGTTGTGGATTTTTTTGCTCCTGGTGGGGGTTAATGTGGATGTCTTAAGAAGTCCCCTCCAATTTTATGATTCAATTGCTTATTTTGCATTTATGGTTTTATTTCACATCCTGTATCATATGGTATAGGTTGATGTATTTATGCATCTATTTATGCATACATGTTTATCTCTCCAAGACTTACATTTTAAATAAAAGGACTTCATTTGACCATTTTGGGGTAATTCTCCAAATGACTTTTCTGGAATATAGGTTATTAAGTATGGCTGCTCACCCACCCCTCTTCTTGGCAAGAACTGTGTTCATGAGATCAAAGGCTCTATGTGAGGATGAGGGTTGAACAATAAACTTATTATAGAACAGGGATTCAGCCAAAGTGGGATCCCTTCTCTGTTGTCTGTTTGTTTGAGAATAAACATGTGTCTTTCCATATACTTGGTTTCTCAAAAATTTGCCCCTTCCCACACAAAATGTAGTGCTTGTTTCTTATTATACCCAGCAATTATTTCAAAGGGAAAAATCTGGGGTTTAGAAGACCCGGTTTTATTGAAAAATAAAAATCCAGCATATGCATATTTGGAAAGAGATCTCGGTTTCAAAAAAATCCTTAAAAGAAAACAGAAGAAAAGAAAAGAGGAAAGAAAAGGAATATTCTGTTTCTTTCTTTTTTTAAAAAACCAAAACATTCTCCACTAGACAAAGTAATAAATCTAGGCTGTAAAGATATGACAATCACTCCCACTCCCATCAATGCCTCATATTTTTATGGCTACAGAAAACCTCTCCTCATGGGTGGACACACTGACACAGTCATCTGCTCTGGGTTTTAATCTAAATGTTAAGGCACTAGTTAAGCTGTTGAGCTTAATTGGGGGATCAGGTTCAGCATTTGGATAGCTCCTTTAAATTTCAGACTTAAAACCAGGGTGGATTTGTTCATCCCATTGGCCATCAGCATCCACTGCTCCAAAGCCAACAAATACACTTGCCTGGGATCAAGGCTTTTCCCACTTGCTCAGTTTCATCTCCAATGCATTGATGCTCAGTTGGGCAGGAGAAAAATGCATCCATTGTTACTAAACCATATGTAGTCCATTTCAAAAGCACTCATAACATTTCAGTATGACAGCAGCTACATAGACTAGTAGTCTGACTCAAGGCTGCCTCTAATATGAGGCTGGGTGAGAAAATGGCATTGGGTGGTGAATGCTGAACTCAGCAGTGACATCTTCCCTCTCTTTCTACTATTTTTCCTGACCTCCCTGTCCTATATTGCATCTCCTAAACTAGCTTGCTGCTCTCTGGTGGTGTGGTTTTTTATCTATTTTTATCTATTTTATTGACTGTATATAGAGCACTGTGTAAATATAATAATAATAATAATAATAATAATAATAATAATAATAATAATAATGGAGGGCACCATTGTGTTGCCAGTGCTGAAGAAAGATCTCCTCTTCCTCCATCTTGTATGTTGCTTCTGCTTCAAGCAGCCTGCCCCTGAAGGTACTTACTTGAGTGCTTCTGTAGTATTGCAGGAATGCTGATACAAGATGGGATGCTCCATGGAACAAAAGGTTGGAGAGTCCCAAAACCCAGTTTTCTCAAGAATCATATGTTGTTTAAGGATTTAGGATTGCCAGAACAATATAATAGCCATTTACTGAACAAATTAAAATAACTGCCAAGTTCACTCCAATATCCCCTCCATGAATCCATATATAAACCCTGACCTGTTTCTCCCCATCTCACAGAATACTTTTACAATAGCTGCCTTGAATCCTATTTTGGGAGAAAGTGAGATATAAATCTCATAAATAAATAAATAAGAAAAAAATCTCTAATGCCTGCAAACATTGTAGTAAAAAAAGAAGAACGTGTCTTCCTTTAATTCCGAAGTTACTAGTCCCATGGATTTGCAGTCCCATTTTATGGAACTTACACTACTAACTTTATCAGACTCATACCTTCCAAAACAGAATAGGGGGTGGGTAAGCAACACATGACCCCCATGCAACCTTTTTTTCTTCCATACCCCACAAATCTTTGCTGCTGTTCCCATCAAATTTACAGTTTCAGTAATGGTGACAGTGGACAAAAATGCAGAAATGTTAAATTAATCTGTGTGCTGCCCATATCCTTTATTTAGAAATGAAATCTCATGTCTCTCCCCCACTCCCTTTAAATCAAAGCACAGGTTCTCTGTACACCTTGCTTTAGCTCGAAACAATATGGGTGCAGAGCATGCAGTCTGTTTTAAAGGAGGAGAATGTCTTTATGTCACCACACCAACACCTCAGGAAAGATGAAAAGGCAATGTGCATTCTTCTGGTGTTTATTTTCCCATGGAGAGAAATGTTGCACCAGAATGGGTTCTGAGAGTACATCTGTGCGGACAGAACAATCAAAATCTCCTTGACAGGCAAATTGTTAGAATTATATATATATATATATATATATATATATATGTATATGAGCCAGAATTATAACAAGAGCTAGCAAATTACTTGGCCTATAACTCTGTTGGGCAGAAAGACGTTGGTTCTCTATAAGGTTCTGCTGTCCTCCCAAAGTGTATCAGAGAGTGGATACAAGGTAAAAGTGTATCAGAGAATGAGCATAATTCAAAGAATTCAAATCTACTGTTTTTAAGTGCTTTTATCTTTTTTAATTCTTTTAATGAGCAATCTGTTCTAATGTTGTAATAGTCCAAATTAATGCTCACTTTTGTATGTTTTTAATTGTACTATTCTTTTAAATTGTATGTCTGAGTCCCAATTTTGGGAGAAAAGCGGGATAGAAATAAATATAGAGCCTGTGTGGTGTATTGGTTTGAGTGTTGGACTAGGACTCTGGAGACCTGGGTTCGAATCCTAGCTCAGCCATGGAAATCCACTGGGTGACCTTGGGCAAGTCACATTCTCTCAGCTTCAGAGGAAGGTTGTAAATGCCTTCTGAACAAGTCTTGCCAAGAAAACCTCCATGATAGGTTTACCTTATAAATTGGAAATGAATTGAAAATGCACAACAACAACAACAACAACAACAACAAATGAATATACTAAATATGATAAATAAATAAAGTCCTAGCTATGTTAGCCTGGAAATCAGTATGCAAAGGGATCTTGCAGCACTAATATGAATGTAAATTTATGCTTATTAGTGCTGCTCAAAATGGAAGATAGTTTGAAATTCCTCCTGGATGGAAGATTGAAATGAAGGATAGGTCCTGGAAAGGAGGACATGTCTGGTCACACTGACTTGAGTCTATTTCCTATGCATTTGAGGAATGGGCTCAACTCTAGGAAAGCTCATGCTCCTAGCTTCTTTCTATTGTTTTGTCTCAAGGGTGCTGCAAGATCCCTTTGCATGCTACAATGCCTTAGGATGGGATGCATACCCTGTTGCCCCGCTTGCAGGTGGCCCTCCAAGGTTTAATGTGCAGCCCCTAGAGATGCTCTGCGGTTGACTGTTAAATCTCTTCCCCTCTCTTGCTCAGTATGTTAAATAAGATCCCAGCTCATGTAGAAAGGAAACTCTGGAGAATTTTACTCTATATGATAACAATGGCAAGACTTTTGGTTGCACAAAAATGGAAGAATAATGAACTTCCTGCATTAGATGAATGGCTGCTAAAATTATCAAAAATGATGGAAATTGATATTTTGAAATGGATATTTTGGAAATGGATATTTGTCTGAATCAAAAGGATATGAATGTAATTGAGAAAAAATGGCTTCCGGTAAATGAATTTTGTAAGAACAGATGGAATTAAACTATAGGTAGAGTAATAGGATGACAGGAAAATGAGATGCACTGTGCATCACATGTATATAAAACTTTGTGACTGCTGTAGATCTATGGGTGTATATCATAAAAGAACAAAAGAACAATAAATTCAAATAGATATGGTTGGGAGGAAAGGATGACCCGGCAAGAAACATTGAGGAAGTAGAGTTTTAGGGGTAGTGTTTTATGTTGTTTTATGTTGTTTATGTTGTTAAGCAAATTCTAATGTACATTATTGGAAAGATATATATATTTATATACTTTATTATTGGAAAGATATAAAGATTTATATACTTTATTTTTTTCTACAAACATATATATATATATATGTTTGTAGAAAAAAATAAAGTATATAAATCTTTACCCCTCTCCATTGATTTCCCAATTTCCTAGAGAGTGCTCTTGCTGCTGCTGCAAACATTGAGAGCAGATGGATGTACAGCTATTGTATCCTGGAGAAAAACAAGACAGGGCTCCTGCGTCTTTAACAGTTGCCTATAAGAAGGAATTTCATCGACCCTTGCTGGAGCAAAAAGAAAGAAGCCGACTCTCTGGAGGCGCAGGGAAGGCGTTTATAAAAACCAAGCCCGAGAAGGATAAGGCGCAGTTCGGAGTCCAGGCACGAGGTGGCGCCAGAGCTCGCTGATGGCTGAAGGCACTGCAGTGGATTTTTCCTGCTCCCTTTTTTAAATTACTGCGGAGAAGGAGAAGAGGAAGAAGAGGAAGAGGAGGAGGAGGAGGAAAGGGAGGAGGAGGAGGAAGAAGGGGACCAGTAGCTCCTAGAATGATAGATTCCACAACAACTTGTTCTAATGTCACCCATCCATCCATATATATATATATATATATATATATATATATATATAT